TATTTCTGCTTCTGCCGTGGCCCTTACCTTTATTACCAGTTTCTAAGCAATCCATAACTGTCCATGGAAACTAAACTTCAGGAGATTATGGAAGTATTTCTCCTTTCTTGTTTGTTCCGGAAAATTACTCTCACTAAACAGTGTGTGTTATATGCATCCTCTGCTACCCTAACCCAACCTAATGTTGCTTAAAGGCAATGAAACAACATCTTACAGTGCCCAATATGGTCAAATCTTTGTTCAAGCACTTGCCAAGTGGGGGGATTTTTCTAACCTCTCTACTCTCCTTTTCCCAAACTATACAATAGGTCCAATGATATTATCGATCTTAGCAATATGATTAAGGATTAAATGGCGTAACGCATGTAGAATGTTTAACTGCAGTGCCTGAAATACAGTAGATGCTCATTGATAGCAACTATATTTCATTGTTAATAAAAGAGACAAATTTCTTTCAGCTGCTTTGATTTAAGAAGACAATACCATTTCCAGACATCTCTTTCCTGGGGCTAACTATATTAGTATTCTGCCCCATGGGAAGGAAGAAACTTCATGGGCAATAAATAGTCAATTTAGAAGCAGGAGGAATATGAGGTAAGCTAAAATGTTACCCCCTGCTGGCTTTTTGAAATGCAGATTCATCAATCTCTTTGATGTCCCTAGCCACTTCCAGTGAACATCTTTCAGCATATTATTTGCTTTCTTAACCACATCACTTTTCACTGAGTTCAACATTCCTGGAGGATTCAAAGGATCTTGGTACATTCCTCCAAAATGAATTCAGAAGGTAAGTAGAAAGAAAGGGGAAAATATCTTTGAATAGGATCCAGGTTCAGACTGGGGGTGGAAGGAGGTCGTGGGGAGGGGAGGGGGTGGAACTTTGTGACTCAAAGGTTAACAGGGAGTTCAGCTTCAGGATTTCCGTGTGCCAGTCTACTCTGTCAGTGCCCTGAGGACGAACTGCAACCAAGCAACCCACCCAACTCCTTTGTCTAAATAAGTGGACACGATGGCATCCAGCTTCCTGAAGGGGAAATGGAGGGACCACACAGGGAACCAGAGGGTCTCCTTGGGAAAGCGGGAATTAAAGTGCTCATCACTTTCAGGCTTCCCTTAATCTCCTTTGCTGTTTTAGGGAGTCCACATTCATAGTGGAATATTTTCCCTTTTAAAGGTAAGCACTTCTAATAATGCATTTTCAAGTTTATAATCAAATCCCAGTGAGCAGGCTCACTGTGCCCTGGCCACTTCAGCCCACTGCATCTTGGGCTGCACTTTCACTACTTGCTCCAGTAAGAGAGAACACTCATACATACAACGGGTTCCGTGAAGGGGCGGCAAGGAACAGTAGACACCTAGGATTCACGGTCAGCGGGTTTCCCATGCTCAGGAAAGCTGCCCAGGGCAGGTGGAGTCTCGTCTGTGTGTGCCTCACTTGCACCACAGATGAAGGACCCTAGAAAGCAACCCTCTCTGGGTTTTCTACTCCAGGGATGACATGGCCTGCTGGATTAATGTGCTGAAGGACATCCTGTTTCTAGCGGGGACTGAAACAGAGCCTAGGCCTTATCTCAGGATGTTGCGTTCCCAGCACATTCTAGTTATTCTTAAGATCTACAAGTGAGAAAGGGGGAGAACTGGGTTGGTCCAAGGCCATCTGGAGATGCAAAATATCACTCACCAGGGCTCCTCTTAATACCTTTCTCTAATCCTGGGCTGGCAACAGTGAAGTTTACTTCTTTGTTCAAGAGTCTGTCTTCTTACCAAACTGCACACTTCTTAAGGACAGAAGCTGACTTTTTTATTTTTGTATCCCAAGCAGGGCAGAAATGGACATCAGATATTACACGCTGGCATCCTTAACTACATTAAATCTTTCTTTCAGAAAACCATACTGTATGCTAGAGGGCAGAAAGCTAACAACATTAAGCACTGTTACATAGACTCCCTGAGAGTCAAGCTGCATCTTGAATCAACTTCTCCAAATAGACTCACCCACGTGAGAGCTGAAAAACACAGTATCACGAGGCAGGGCCATGCTCCTGCTGACAAACAAGCACAGTCATGAACACACTTGGCTGTTCTGCAGCAGCTGGAGTCTCAGTTTCCAGGGTCTAGCTACACGGGCGTCAGCCTAGAGCCTGGGCTTCCAGCCCTTCTATTTTGTAAGCACCTAATTACTCCTATTAAGTAGCTTTCTGATGAAATTAGTTCAACTGGTTTTTGTTATCTGCAGCTGAACTCTAATTTGGTGCTCATCAAATGTTTGTCGAATGAATGCACTGGGTAAACATTGGTTCCACCCACAAAGTCCACCTTAAATCACTTACTCACACCTGGGCTCCTGAAACTACCTGTTGATTCTCAAAGGGGATGATTCATTAACAAGAAAAGTTGCCCAGAAATGCCTCCAGTAGAATTCTACGATGCAGTAAAAAGGAAAAAAAAAATCACTGTAAAATACCACTTGGAAAAAGAGGTGGCTTTTTTTCTTACATTTTATCATTATCTAGAAAACTCATGAAGTGGCTTATTTTTGTCACTTAGTTCCAGTTAAAATCGAGTATTTCTGTGTTTTCTAAATGACCACAAAACTATAGGTAAGAAAAGATTGTTAAAGGTTTACAGTCTGAAATAAATGGTTTGTGTGAAGTTGGGGAACTAGCAGAATTATTAGAGTGAACAATTCTTTCAATCTTCAGATTTGGGTCAAAGACTTGACCTTTGAGAACATACATTTAAATGCTATTTATTCCTGTGAATCCCATAAAAGGTCTAGAGCTTCACTGGATGAATTTAAGGCTTAGTGAGTAAGTATCAAGCTGAGCACTCTGGGGCAAGGCCTGACTCCTAACATTGAAATGAGCAAGGAAGCAAAGAGCTCTCCTCTGAATTTCTTACATGCAAGAACAGCAGTTGGACTCCCCAAGCTAATGCATTTCCGTGAAATTATTGTCTTCTTACTGAAGCTTCCTGGCCTAAGACTTATGCCTCTCTACCTGAAAAATGCCTTCTCTTCCAGCAATGCTGTGATTTTTCAGTTCCTAAGGCTGAATGATCAGCACTACTCCAGTTTAGTTAAGGATTAACTTGGCTAGCTCAAGTGTTTCTATAATGGATCCATGTGTTGACTGACAAGAAGAGGTGCCACCTAAAAGAAGATTGGAAGAGTGCTGGCTTGCCTTACAGGAGAAGGAAAGATTAGTCAGCCCTTTTTGCAATCATGAAATAATCAGCTGTGTTCTTAGGAGACTTCACTCTGTTGCAACGGAACGTGATGCTGTACTGGAAAAAATTATAAAGTAGAGTCCTGGGCCTGGTGTCCAGCTTGTCTGGACCCCATGTCCCCTCAGGATGGGAGAAAGCATTTATTCCTTCTTTCACTGTTTGCTACAACAGATGCCAATGAGCATGTACATGCACCACGCTCTGCGTGGTAGGCACTGGATATTCCTGGGTGAACAGAACGTGCATAGTCATTGATGTCATGGAGATCACAATCAAGTAGGGTGGAGCAGACAATAAACAAAATAAACACACAGATGAAACTGCAAATCCTGCAAGGTCTTACTTGATGCCTGAAATAAATACTCCCACTAAAAATCTCTTAGACAGTAAGGAGATTTTTAGTGGGAATATTTATCTAATACTAAGACATGCAGTGGTTCCAGGTCCAGCAACTCAGTGATGTCACTAAGGACCCAGAACTTTCCATCTTTTTACGTTCCATCTTCAGCATGCTGAAACTTTCTAATTCAGTGGTTTTTTGAGATATTTTTCTAAAGACAGTTTCTTCTCTACAAGAAAATTAACAGCAGCTGATAGATAAAATTCACCATTAAGTTATTTACAGAAAATTGTTATCAGCCTGCACTTAACTTGCATCTCTTTGATGGGCTTAGTGTACATGTTATCTTCTTAATGTTAGTTACAGTGAAGGATCAGTGACACTTCCCACATTCAAAGCATTTGCGACATCTGTTCTCATACAACTTGCTCAAATAATGCTGTCTACACAGTCTGCACCAGAATGCAATCTCGTGAAGAGAACTAGCCCCAGCCCTTGTCTCCGCTCCTTTTCATTCTGCCCCTAACGCCATCTCCTATTACAAGATGCCTCACACACAGACACAGGAACATGCTAGGCCATATACCCACACTCCAGTCACAGACTATACAAGATCAGCTGTAGTCACTGGTGTGCTTTGGGGTGCTCATACCAGTGTGCTGTCTGCTCTTCAAAGAAGACACCTGGGGAAGAGACCCTCATAGGCCCTGGAAGTAGGCTTGGACCTCTTGGACATAAAAGTCTAGGGTTCTAGCTGCCTAGAGGAAGAGCCACTTTATGTCTTTAGTGAACTCTTGTATTTGTGGCCCTCCTTTTCCATAAAATATATCACAAGTTACATCTTACAACTGTGTTGGTAAAGAAATGAATATATTGATATGATGTCAGATATGTTTTCAACTTAAAAGTTCCTGCTTTCCTTCTGATTGTAAAAGAAACTTGAATGTTTTTATGGCCCCTAACAGTAACATGGACCCTTGGCAGTGTACCTATTGAATCTGCCTGTCTGGAGCTTAGTCTTGAAGGGGGAAGGAGAATGTGCTCTAATGTGGCCTAGAGATTCACTGCCTCATGAGAAGAGGCATAGCCAGAGCAGAGCCAGAATTCTGGACCCTTAAATCGCAGGGCTCAGATTTGGGGTCCCTCCTCCACAAGGCTAAGGGTGTTACCATTTCATCATAAACCCTGTGCACTCAAGTGGGCAGTGAATTTTATTATTATGAAGAATATTTAATTAATACTTGTTCTGATTTGTATTACTAAAGATCCCATTCTGGTGGCTCTTCCTCCGTAAGAGAACAGCTGGCCTTGAAAAGTGAAACAACTTCTAGGCAGTCAAAACAACAGCTTGCAACTTCTAAATAACGGCTTTTCCAGGTTCTTTGCTTCAGTGTTTAAAAAAAATAAATAAATAAAGCTCAGGGTTTAGTTTGAGATTGAGAACTCTGTTGCACTATTTTTTCCTGATTTATTAGACAACACAGAACTACCCAGGAAGGCCAGGAGAAAACTTTGGGCACATGTGGAGTTCTATGAACCACCTCTCCTACCTCTAGTGTATACAGGTTGGACTAGGTATTTAGTGTCATCTTCTGAAGTAGCTGTAGTTTGCTTCTCCTCCTCCCATTCAAATGCTTTAAGCTGCTCAGTACTTCTCTCTGGAAAAGATTGGGAGTGTGACTCCATCAGTTAGCAGAAGTCGGAGTGCCACAGGGCTGGGAGAGCTCAGAGCGGGAGCAGGAATGCCACCATTAGCCTGTGGGACTCTCCCGTTTTCACACCATCTTTCCACATTCTACCCATTGTCGCACCTAAAAAGCATTAATAACTACGACATCTTGTTTTCCTTCTCTGCTCCCACCCCACTCCATCCCTCCTAAATGGCTTTCAATCTTCCACCTCTTCTTCATCTCAAAGCCTGTATCCCAGCTAAGGACCTTACCATCTCTTACCTGAACTCTTGCAATCGACCCATTCCTGGTTTATCTGACTCTGATCCTTCCTCTCCCTCCCTACATTTCCATATTAAATGGCAATAGGAGGGATCTTACATAGATATTTTTATCTGTGCTGCCAGGTACCTTTCCCAAACTGGAGTTTCAGGAAACCTTTCAGTAGATATTAAATATATATTTTCTCTTGCCCCCATTGGTACAATCTTTCATTCTATTGTTTTTAGGTAGTGCAATAATTAAGTCTCTTCCCTCCCTCTGTCCAAAGACACTCTCTGTCTCATTTATTATATCTTATTTCATTTCATTTCATTTTTTGAGAAGGAGTCTCACTCTGTCACCCAGGCTGGAGTGCGGTGGCATGATTTCAGCTTACTGCAACCTCCACCTCCCGGGTTCAAGTGATTCTCCTACCTCAGCCTCCCGAATAGCTGGGATTACAGGTACCCACCATCATGCCTGGCTAATTTTTGTATTTTTAGTAAAGACAGGGTTTCACCATGTTGCCCAGGCTGGTCTCAAACTCCTGACCTCAAGTGATCCATCCACCTTGGCCTCCCAGAGTGCTGGGATTACAGGTGCGAACCACCACACCCAGCCCACTCTGTCTCTTTTAATTTCAGTGAGGAAAAAAAGACCCCTCTTATAGCAAGAGGCATAGGCCCATCAAAGAATTTAATTACCCTTTACTTCCTATGAAATACAATCACAAAGCTATTTAGATATCATCAGCACTATGTTCAGCCCTCATCTGGAAATTTGAGACTTTGGTGGTAACATCACTAGAGTAGACACCCAGAGGGAGCCCATACCTACAGTTAGGTGTCTGTTGGGAATTCCCAGGCTGTCATTCAAGCTAACAGAAGGGACTCTTTTCATTATATTTCTTAAGGCAGGGTTTTGGGAAAGGGATGAGATCCATGACTTTTGTCCAACAGAAAGATCTATAAGATATTTTGTATTTAGTTCCTCCTGCAAAGTACCTGCTCATGATTTATTCCTCTTATTGAACATGCAAGTAACTAACAAGAAGGACTAAGAGAAGTCTATTACTCTCCATTGTTCTGTAGTAAGCATGAAAACTAGTCACATAGTGTTGCAACGTTATCATCAGCACCTATTTGGAAAGTTTCTTGGGGATTCCCACGCAACAATTATAAACACATTTCTGACTTTGCATTTAAATGTTCTATTTGCAAAGAGATAAATTAGAGGGTGAAATTGTTCACGCTACAGAAAGAGGCTTCACAATAGCAAAAGATCACAAGGATCCTTACTCAAGTCTTCTTTCCAGGTCACTAAATAATTCAGAGGAGAAAAATCTAAAATGGGAAGTGTTTTAAGCCACTGTTGATTACATATCTACCCATCAAAAATGAAATTGTAATGACAAAGGACATTAGTATGTCAATGGTTATAGTTTAGTTTACCTTTTACAATTTTTATTCCTTTAGACAGAAAGCTAAGCACTTGATAACCCTGTTAAATTTTTTTCATGCTCTCCCTTGCCTACCCAATATATAAGGAAGACATTTCATCCTGCATGTTCCTTTGACTTTTTTCTCTTTGCTCTCAGACCCACTCAAATGCTATTTTACCTTCAAACTCATTTCAGAACTATTTTCTTGTCTTGCCTTGCTCTACACTCCACTCCCACCTATACCTAGTCCATCCTGCACACCCACCTGACCAACTCATACTCCTGCAAGACTCAGATTGGGCCTCAGATGCTCCATGGGTACTTTTCTGACTTCCTTTGGACTTACTGAGGTACCCTCTTGCACACTTCCTTTGTGCCTTCCATATACCTCTATTAGAGTACAGACAACATGGAACTCTTGGTAACCTCCCCAACAGATTACAAGTTTTTTGAGGGCCAGAGTTGCTTTCCTCGCTTCATAACCAGTGTGCAGGTGTTCAACACCTCCTCATGAATCCCTCCAGTTCAAATCCTGCCTCCTCCATGACATGTTATCCAATCTCAGTAGCCCAGAATACTCCCTTACATTCCTACTCTCTAAAACAAATTAAACTGCCATAGCACTTGTTTATATTTTGCTTTGTGAACAGCTCTTTTCAAGGAAATGTGCAACACACAGTCCTTATCTTTTAACCACAATGTTAGACATATCAAAATAGTTAGAATGGTATGGACACTCCTAGGATTGGACCCCACTAAACAGTGGCTATTTCATCAAGGCTTGTTCATCCTAATGGAATTAGTGTGAAAAAAGAAATAGCAGGATCTGGTATTGTGGATATATACTGTTTGCACAGCATCCTTGCTGTTGGGAGAAGGATTTCTATTATAACTTATGGCCTTGTGGCTTTTGTGGAATCATCAAATATTTTTCATGATTATATAACAATATTAAGTTTGAAAAAAGCAATTCCTAAAGGACAAAAGCAAACTAAAACAAGTAAACCCAACTAGACATTGCGCTGTGGCATAACCATACACAGAGAAACTATTCTAGTTGTCTTAAGAAGACAAAACTGACCATATATATATATATACACTTAGTGGGATTTGATTTTCCCTAATGATACTAAAAAATTCAAACTCTCTCTTTCTTTTCAGTAATCATATTATTGGTAGTGCTATTGGTATTGTTATTCTAAGGTTCATCTATTGGGAATTCTGTATTTTCAGCCTACAAAAAGAAAAAAAACATATGTAACATAAATTAGATTAAGCAAAAATTCTAGTCTTAAATTTGCTGACATCAGGTCTGGGAAGGGAATGTACAATATACAAATGAGCCTGGATCTTCGTGTACCACAGAGAACAGATACCACCAAAGACCACTGAAAGTGTGTAAAAAGGACTGAGGAGCCATCTGAAGAAGCCTCTTAATGGCCACAGATGAGTCAATTTAAATATCAGTAAAGATAATGGCAACAGATTGAAAGGCATCGAATATATTTAAATTTCTTAGTTAATAATGACTATAGAAATAAAAACAATTGGCCACTTTTGACCAGCGAGTTATTTAACTATTTTGAAAACTAGCAAATAAAAAAATGATTAAGCATTTATTCTGACTTTTCCATATGACCAACACTTCAAGTCCACCAAGTAATGTAGAAGAATTTTCTCTTTGTGGAAGGATTCCAGGTTACAAAGTTAACCACCATGGCATGTGTATACTTATGTAACAAACTTGCAACTCTGCATATGTATCCCAGAACTTAAAGTATAATAATAAAAAAGTAAAATAAAGAGTATGATAGAATTATAATATCATCTTTTTGCTACTCCTAATGATATAGTGTATTAAATAATAAGCATCGATCACTGCTGACTTCACAAAAAGGGAGACAACCAGACATTTTATATGCCCTAATCAAGGCTCATAGCATCATTTATGAAGTTGACTTGCCAAATGAATCAAAACTGAATGTGACTGAGCCTCTAGATCCAACTAATAATTTGCAGAAAACACATGGGACAGAAAAGCAGGATACATGACACCACAAGGATCCAATTAGCAAATCCTGACAGTGGGAATGTCTACAGGGAAACAATGTGTTTAACAAACAAAAGAGTGGCTGGGCGTGGTGGCTCGTGCCTGTAATCCCAGCACTTTGGGAGGCCAAGGCGGGTGGTTATAAGGTCAAGAGTTCAAGATCAGCCTGACCAACGTGGTGAAACCCCATCTTTACGACAAAGCATTTTTGAAAAAGATACTGAACAGCTAATAGAGTATTAGAAGTGCTAGAAAACAAAAGCATAAGATCCAACTTCTAGGAATAATGCAAAATTAAGTCTCCGAAACACTTTCATAAGGAAAACCCTGCAGCCACCAGTAGCATCATTGGACTTATCTGCTTTTACAGCAGAGAGAGAGACAGACAGACAAACAAAGAGCCACTGCCAGAGAGCACAAGCATACTCTCCACTCATTCCCTCTCAGACACTTTTGAGGAAAAATCTGGAGCAGATGCCTGTGGTTATCAAAGCCTTTGCCATAGCTTCAAGGGAGTCTGGGAAAGAGGAGAAAGTGAGCATCTAGTATTTTCTGTTCCAATTACAAGAGGTTTCCTGTCCCATCCCCACTGCAAAGAATCAAAATGAGAGCAATTCCAAAATTACAGAAAAGAATTCAGACATCAAAAAGCCAAACTGAATGAACAATATTTACCTCCCTGGGCAAGTAGCAATCTCCCTGAGTTTTAGTTTCCTCATCTGGCAAATGATTAAACAACACCATTCTCCCAAGACTGCTTTGAGGAGTGAAAGCAATAAGGTGTCTATTAAACAGCACAGAAGATCACCCAGCAAACTTTCCTTCCACCCTCTCTCTGCTTTTTCCCCGCTCCCCTTCCTTTCTTTCGTTTAACTTCCTAACTCATTTAAGTTCCTACCTCCTTTGTGTTTTCAGAATAATATTCTATTTACTTAAGGGACACAAAGTAAATAAATGTTTTTGAAACTGAATGGGATTGAATTGGATCCAGATTTTCATAGGAAAAAAAGTTTCCTTTCGCCTTAGTCCTTACACACCTGGTTTTGCAGGAAAAGAAATTAGCATTTGGAAACACACAGCCACAGGTGAGATACTAGTGCATTCCCACGTCTCAAATCCTCAATCTTTGGTCAGTATGATGGGAAGTTTCATTGTCCAATAAAGCAAGGGACAGATGCTTTGTTTCATTCAAGTAAGTATTTCTTCTAACAGAAACCCACCCCAGGATGAAACAGCCCTGCATCTCCAGCAGCCTCTGGAGAGTCAGGTGGCCCTTCAGCCTTTGAATGGCATGGACTGAATTGACTCAACCACGGTTAGCTGACTTTTATTTCTTTTCTTCCTTCCTGCTCATTCAATATCATCAACCAGAGAGAAGGAGCTCTGTGTCATAAAGGCGACCACAGCTGAGCAGATCTCTCCCTATGCCAGTCCACGTGGTAATTTTGGAAGGGCCCTGGGATATATGACTTTAGGACTATAGGAAAGTTTTGTGATTAATGGTGGTTTTTATCTTCAGACTTCAAACATTGACTCATGCAGGGAATGAGCAATCTATAGGTCAGATATCCTACATCCCAGTCATTTTCTTTCTTCAGTCAAGAATTTAGAGAACTAAACACCAACCAGCTGTAAAAGACATCTATCCTGTCTGCAGAAAAGCCTATTTAATGGGCCCCTGAGGGGAATTGTTTAAAATAATGCTATGCAATTTCTCCAAGAGTTTCTGCTGGAAAAAAAAAATAGAACAAATGGAAAATTTAATGCCTAAGTGATCGATACTTTATTCATGAAGCAAGGTTATTCTCTTGCCTTTTTCTCTTGTTGATGAGGTACTTTGTAGGCACTTTAAGTGAAAAATACCTACCTTTTATTCAGCAATTTATCAGATATTTATTGTGGGTTTTCTTATAAGATACTCTGCAGGCCTACGAGGTTGTAAGGGTAGAAATAAATGGTGCCCAGCACTGAAAGATTTTAATAATGTTAGCAATGCCAATCACAACCCCTAATGCATCCACTACGATTTACTTTTTACAGTGCTTTCGTATGTTCTAAGTCATTTTCATAATCTTATAATTTATTACAATGAGAAAACTTTTTCAAGATCATTTTACTAATATATTTTATTTCACCTCATCTTCCAGTTGATAATGTAAGATGCTTAACCCATCATGTGCCCAGAAGTACACTAAGTCCTTTGACGATAGGTTCTTGGAAACTGGGACTTCAAATGAAATGACATATAACAAAAACAGCTTTACCATAGGCTAATTGATCTAAACAAGAGTTAAGTTGCTACAGCATATTTCTGGTCACAAAAAAAAAAAAATCACCAAACTTCTAAATAAAGATCCAAACACTTTTAATATTGAAATAAATATCAAAATAACTTTGAAATGAATATGAGTTACACATACATTTAAGAAAGTTAACAAAAACAAGTAAGATAATCATCTACCCACTTATTCAAGTTCAGGAGCTCACGTGGCCAGAGCCAATTCTGGTAGCTCAGGGTACCAGGCTGGAATCAGCCCCAGACAGGCCACCTTTCCCATTGCAGGGCACACTCATACACACCGACACTCACTCACACTGGGACCAGTGAGACACACTGATTCATCAAACGGACACAGCTTTGGGTTTTGGGAGGAAACCAGACATGGAGAGGACTTGCAAAGTCCATATACACAATGACTTCAGCTAGGAATTCATTTTGTTTCTCATCAACATTATAAGGAAATGACATTGAACTTACATGACATTATTCAAGAACCTGCTGTGTAAGCTCAGGAAATAGTAGAACCCCTCCTCCCCACCCAGATACCTTGTTCCATTAGGTATAATGAATTTAAAACTGCATTTGCATGTTCACATCAAGCATTTGTCACATAGCTGCTTTCTATTTTGTGTAGCCATGAGGATTTCATAACTTAATAATCTAAACAACAACTGCCTATTTTATGTTGACCTTGCTTCCTCTTTCCTTTGTGTACACAGGTAGAAAGGACTTGGACTACATATTTGGTTTGAAGTTTGAAAATCTGAATCTTTCCCCAACCATCAAAAATATTTACCTCCCTCCCTTGTCGCACAATCATCTAAGCAGCCTTCTTGAATTGACTCCCACACCTGTTCATCATAGAAGGAATAAAATAAAAGCAAATGCCGTATAAAATCCCTTCTTCAACTGGGTCTTCTGTTTTGAAATACTGAAACAGTTCCTGTTCTATTATCTCACCAGCTGTGGCCTTTTATCTCCTAAAGGGAATAATTGACGTCTTACCAGTCAAAGTCACTGTGCTTATGGAGGCCATAAATATCTTCTCTAAATCCTACATGATAAATTTCCCTCTGATTGGTAAAGCAGATACTGTAACGTGCAAGTGGGAAGCGGGAGAGGCTTTGATGATGCTAAACTAAGCCCCTGGAGATATCCCAGCCCTTCCTCCAGAATTTTACTTTCCAACAACTGGAGTCACAAACACGGTAGAAAATGTTCTCTGGATTATCCACTCCTATTAATTTTTTTAAAACTGGTTTTCAATGATGGGCAACCTAAAATGTACTTACACAGAACACAAAACAGCTGAATTTGTTAAAGGTCCAAATGGGAACGTGCTTCTTGTACAAATCACAATATGCTTTCTAGACCACAACCTGAAAAGGAAAGAAATAAAATCCTGTGAATAAAAAATAAAACAAGGTATTTTTCAGTTTTGTACATGCATTTGAAATGATTTTATCTCTGACTCATGTTCTACTTTATTTTTGATTCTTGGGAAGACCTATCCCTATACTGTAATTTTTTGTTTTAATAACAAATTTCCATTTGTAACTATTAGTTGGTCTTTCCACAAAATTGGTTTGCTGGAAAGGACTGAGAAGAGAAACAACATTCCTGGATCAGATGGAACTGGTGAGTGTGGAAGTCCTTGAACTTGACCAAGCATTGTCAGTTCTCATAGTCTGACCGAAAAAAAAGAAAAAAAAAAATAGATTTTTCTGTGTGTTTTTCTTGGTGCTCCTAATGTAAGTTTTTTCAAATGGGAAAAAATACATAAGTAGACTGTAATTGTAAGAGAAAAAAGGTAAAACTATTTTGGTGTTTTGTATTACTTGGAACTTTATTTATTGTAGGATATAGATTTAAGATAGTTTTTTGTTTTGTTTTGTTTCATTTTTATAAGCAAGAGATAGTCTTTATAATCTGTGGAATTGGGGTATAATATAAATAACAACAAACCCAAAAAATGGGCAAAGAGACATCCACCTTGACGCTCAATCCTTTTCATGCCAACCCCACAGACAGCCAAGAAGCACTTTGACAATGGGAAGAAAGGAACTAAAGCTAGAAGATAAATGTAGCCGCTTTGGGGCTGCTACAGCAAAGAAGTTAAAAGTGTCTGCCTATTTACCTTGGGATCTGAATGATCCATTTCTGTAAGTGGCCTAATCCCCATCACCAATTTCACCCATGCCCCCAAAACACACATTCCCTGGCGACCCCACCTTAAACAGAATAAGACAGACAGGTTACTGTATATTTCACTAAGCATTCGAATTTATTGAAGTCTGCACTTTGCTCAGATAAAGGGTTTGTGGTCTTGTTCACTGCTCCTAGCTGGGAGATGGAGTGTGTTGCTCAGTTAATATAGTATGTCCTCTGTATATTCTCCTGTAACAACTGGACACTGTTTTCCTTGGCCAGAGGGGCTGAGTTGTATTCATTGGCTCAAGGGCTCTCAGGTGCTGAGTGGAATATTTCATGTTTATTGCCTCTTAATGGACTACTACTGAGGACTGAGGGACACAAAGTATAAGCCATTCATGCTCAGTCAAGCCTCCTTGGAGGATGCGGAATTCCCCCTGTGATCGCTGCCACCCTGCTGATTCAACCATCACTCAGACTGCCATCAGAGGTTACTGGCTTTAGGCTGTAAGTTACAGGAAACCTTTCAGCCTCTACTTGGTTATTTATAGAGGAGTTTATAGGATTCTTCCACAACTTGAGGGAGGAAAATCAAACAAATGTCACCTCCTATTATCGTGGCAACTAAGTTCCACTCTGAAAATAGAAGCTGGAACTTTAACCTGTTAACTAGTAAACTAATCCACTGGTATATTTATGTTTTAGCAATACTTTTTACATTAAAAAAAATATTTCAAATCTTTACCCCTCTCGGGAATTTTCCCTCATTAGGCTCACTCTTATTTGCACTATTTGACACCTCTGCATTGGGCTAATGCTTTAATAATGGACTTCAAGTGCATGAAATTTGATTATTTATTATTTCTTTCTTTCCTTTCTTTATTCCTTCTTACTTTTACTTCTTTCCCCCTCTCTCTCTGTTTCTCAGTCTCTCTCTCTCTCTGTCTTTCAGCTTTCACAAATGCTAATATAAAACTTATTACATACCAGGCATTATTCTAAGAATTTCAACCTTATAACAACCCTAGGAGACTAAGTAGTGTTATTAATTCCATTTTAAAAGTAAGAAGACTTGATTTTTGATATACTATCATCACTGGTCTAATCATGACTCTATTTTATTTCTTCGTTTCCCCATTATATTCCCTGGCTTATTACTTTGTTAGTGATAAAAACCAACTACCCAACCCAAGAATTTGAACGTGAGCAATGCTTGCACCTAGCTCTCCAATCTTCCCCATCCCATTACCCTCCTGCATAACCCTGACATGCTGAATTTTGTATATTATTTTCTTTCATTTTTTTAAAAGATAATTTTAGCAAATATATGTTGGCTCAAAAATGTTATTGCTTATAAAATCATGCTGTGATCATCTGAGAAATTGCTATTACTAAGCATCATATTATCGCATATACCTGTAGTTCATTTATTTTCATTGCAGTAAGTTATTCCAGATATACTACAATTTGTTTCCCTCTTGATAGGCATTTGCTATCTGCTCTTGTTATAAACAGTGCTTTTATGAACACTTTTAAGTGTTACTCTGGGTACACAAATGTAATAATTTCCTTTAGCATACACATCTAGAAAATTGTTGGGTCAGAGACTGTGTGAATATTAAACCTTAAAAGATAATGTGAAGTGGTTAACCAATTTATACTAGCACTATATAAGAAACATGGTTGATCCATATACTTTTCGATTTTTTTTGTAGTTTAAATTCTTAATTATTGCCAATAAATTGAAGATAGAGATATCCATTATAGTCTTGATTTGCTATTCTACATATTGATTTGCTTATTAATATTGCTATAAGACTCAAGATCCTTCCATCTATTTTTAACTGTATGTGTTTTTCCTTCTCTTTTTCCTCTGTAAAATGTTTACTGTTAATTTTTCTTTGGTCTGTAGCACTGTTTGACCTTTCCTTTATTATTTTATGTGTCTTTATATATACTTGATACTAAACCTTTCTCAATTATGTGTTCCAAATAAATTTTTTTCAGGTTGTAGCTTGCTTTTTCATCTTCTTTAAGAATTCATCTGATGAACAGAATTTCTTAATTTCAATAGTCAATAATCAAAAATCTTTTATGGATTGTATTTTTTGTGCCTGTTTAAGAAATCCTTCCCTACCCCAAGATTGGAAAGATATCCACCTATATTTTTCTAAGTGTTTAAAATTTGCTTTTGACATTTAAGTCTCTAATCCATCTGGAGTTGATTTATGGGTATGGTGTAAGGGTGGGATACAAATTCATTTTTTTCCAAATGGACAACCAATTTTTCCACCTCCTTTTATTGAATAATCCCTCTTTTCTCCACTGAAATGCCAGGCCATCTCTGTCCTCATTAAAGTTCCACATATGTATGAATTTATTTCTGGGCTTTCTATTCTGTTCCATTGGTTCATTTGTCTACACCTGCAGGGTGGTAGTTTGGTAAGGGCACAGTACTTAGTCAAAGTACTGGTCATTTATAACTACGGGGACTTGAGTAGGTCATCTGACCATTCTGTTCAGTTTTGTCTTTCATAACACTTGGATAACAATTTCCTTCCTCCTGAGAATGCTGTGAAGACTAAAGGGAAATCTGTGATACTGTTTTTTAACCTATAAAATTCTTTGAAATATTTTAGGTTGTTTCATAAACATTCTCAAAGTGGTTTTTTTTTTTTTTTTTTTTTGTCTTTCAGAAATCTTTTGGTTATTTAACAAAAAACACCTGACTTGAACTGGCTTTAAAAATAAAAAATTAATGGCCCAAGTAACTTAAATATTCAGGTGGTAGGGCCTGCCTTAAACGAGGCTTTAAACATTTTTTTTCCCTCCCTTCCCTGATTCCTGCAGTGTCACCTTTATTTTGAGACCTTATGGTCACACTGTGTCTGTGAGTAGCTTCTGGGGCTGCATGAGTCGATGTTCACATCCAGCTTTAAAACAACCCTCTCTAGGTAGCTCCCAGAGAAGAAAGAGGAAACTTCTTCCCCAGACATCCTGGCCAGAGTTCTCTGACTCATGCTGTTCAGCCTTCATTTGGGGCATGTGCTCCGTCCTTCTCTAGGCACTGGGCAGACAGGATAGGATCTGTGGCTGAACTTCCTTCTTCTAAAGCTTAGGAACTGTGCGCAGAGGGTTGAAAATCTGATTCTTATTACTGAAAAGAAGCAGCGAACGAATTCTGGGGGATAAGGGGTAGCACCCATAGCAAATGGACATTACATTTTAATTTTAATTTTTGAACAAAAGAACAAAGTATATGGTGACAGATCAAGTAGTGCTGAAGAGTTTACGGGGAGAAAAGCAACCACCACTCTAACACCAATCTTAACTCCTAGAGGAAAATATTTTTAACTCAGTCTTCACTGGACTCTCCCACTGGACTGCTGTCCTAACTCTTTAACAATTTAGACCTAATTTCTTTATGAATTCAGTTTTATTCACGCCAGTGCGCTTCTACTTCTCCATCCTCACCACTCGCTCTTTTCAAAGTTTGATGGTAATGCTGTTATTTTAAAATATTTTACTGTTTACCGTTGTGACTTTAAATAATATACCTGTATTTCTTTTCCCATCTATTTTAATTAGTATCTCAACCTTCTTCTCTGAAGAATTTTAGCTAGCTTTTCCAACTCCTCTACCGGTTCTTTGTTCGTTTCCTCTGTCATGTGCATCTGTCTTTTGCAATGTCAAGATTGTGAACATTCATATTGTGTCCCTCAACAATAAATGAGGCCTTCCTGCTCTTTGCATATTATAAGTTGAATTTGCAAAACTAGTTCACCATTGGCTCAAGTTTTGCGCTAACATAACATTTCCTTTCCTGTGGGTTACTCAAAGCAGACCCCTACACCTCTCAAAGTAAAATGTCCTTTTGCAGCAAGGCTAAATAGAATCTGTTCTGTTTTACTTTTTCAATTATGTTTTTAATTTCTGTGTTATTTGCATAATAACTTTCTCCAACACATTTCAGTTTTGGGACACTATTTCATATTTTTTTTCTTTTGTCCTCCTACATGAAACTGGAGTGTTTTCTCTTTGAGTCTGTTTTGTAGCAGTCATTTTGCAACTCCCCTTTTCTGCTGTCCTATGTTGGAGCCAGGATCCTCAGAACCTCACGTTTCCCAGTTTTTGTTTCTTTCCTCCTGTTGCTTAACCATATCTTTAATTAACTTCCTTAAAGAGTATGATTAAAAGCTAAACATTACCCTCCCTTGCCTGTCAGAAAAAAAAAAATTATTTTGTTCTCACAGCTGATTGATAAGCTGGCTCAGAGCCATGAGGGAACTTTGCTTCATTTTCCTGTAATATCCAATTGTTTATGAGAAGTCTGACATTTATATGAACCTTATTCCTTTACATATGGCTTTTCATGTCCAGAAGATTTTATAACATGCCTTGATCCTAGATACATTATAATTTAATCAGAATCTTTTATATTGCTGATTTTGGATTCATCTTGCTTAACAGTGAACCCCTTCCATCTGAATATTCTGGGAAGTCTCTTGTGACAGTAAAAACCAATCCCCTTCCCCTATTTTTACCATTCTTTTTTTAGGTGTCATAGGTGTAGGTGAGTTTGGAAACTGCTTTGGTTTAAAATGTCCCTTCCAAAACTTATATTGAAGTTTGATTGCCAGTGTGGCGGCATTAATAGGTGGGACTTTTAAGAGGTGATTAGGTCATAGGGCAAGAATGGATTAAAGCCGTTATGACAGTAGCAGGTTAGTTATCTTAGAAGTTCACCCCTTTTTCCTCTCTGTCTCCTGTGCTCCCTTGCCTGGCTGCTTTCCTTCATGGGATGACACAAAAATAAGGCCCTCACCAGACGGCTGAGCAGATGTCAGTGCCATGCCCTTGGACTTCCCAGTCTCCAGAACCATAAGCACAATAAATCT